GAGTCAAAATTAGCTCATATTAATTCATTTTTATTTGAAAACAATCAAACCCACTATATAAAAGACCAATTTGATCTCAATGCACACATTAAAAAAAAAAACAATTTACTTCGCGCAATAGCTAGTTAGTGATACCTCAAAAACAATGGAGAGCAAGAAACATTCACATATATTGATCGTCATAACAATTGTTCTATTATTTGCGATGGCAGGTAACTTGTTTCACAGATGCAAAAAACATTGTAAACTAATAGTCTGATATTTATTAGTGACTTTCTTGATCTAATTATATCGTAATACCAGTACGATTAGTGACTTTCTTAAAAACATTGCATCAATATTTCCAAAATACGCAATTTTCACTTATATTTCGTGAATAAACTCCACATTTAATCGTGCTTTGAGGTGGAGCAAAAGTTGAATGAACCTGTTAGAAAGTGAATTTCAGTACCCTACCATATGCAAATGAGGAGAAAACACAAAAAAAAAACGACAAATCTTTTAAAAAATTCAGAATAGTGAACTAGCTGTTAGATTTGGGTTCATCTTTCGTTGATCATACATTAATTTCAGTCTATCACCATATATTTTGGTGATATGTTTTATAGGTCAAGCAAACGCCTTCGCTGTTTATGATGCAGACTGTTTTAAAAGACCTTGTACAGAAAAATGTGGAAAATTTTGCTTACGCAAAGGGTATACCAATGGATGGTATTGTGGATCCTTTAAAGGCCATACTGGATGTTGCTGCAAGAAGAAGAAAGGACTCTACGAAAAAATATCTTCATCAAACAACTAACATTCTTATTTGTACCGACTTTTTAATGTTTTGGTCTTGATAAGATTTCACATTATGTGGAAAACAAAAATTCTTAAAATTTAACTTTTGGAGGATTTCTAAATGCGCTACAGGCACTAGATTATGGTAAATATAGAGGAGCATTTGAAATTACAAAGAGTTAAAAAAAAAAAAAACCAAGGAAGTTCACCAAAAATGATATAACCAAATAGACATTGAGATTGAGTAACGAATCATCCAGTGAAGGCAATCATTCTCACATACATGCTAACACAATAATCATCTAAGTATCCAATCAGCCAATAGAATCAGA